GAGGACAGCTGTCGGTTCTGTAAAAAAGGGAAAGAAACTCCAGAACATCTTCTCACGGAGTGCCGGGCGATCGTGAACATACCAATTGCGGGCTTCAGATGCTGCATGCACTGTTAGACGGGAAGAAATTTCATCCATAGAACCATCCAGCCTACTTGCTTTGAGCTTTGAGTGAGAATCCTATAAACTGAAGCACCCAAAAGGGGGACACAATAGATCTTTGCTGGTCGTAGTGTAACAATTCATTCATTCATTCATTTATTCATTAACGCCGCAAGAATTCAAAAATTTTTGTTCACAAAAAGAATTTCATGTGCCTAGAATACACAGGACACCACACCAATGGAAGAGAAACCTAACAGGTCAATAAAAGAAGAAGTTATATTGTCAATTTTTGAAGTTGATTTGAAAATTGAAACCTCGGTTATTCCTATCGCAAAAAAACTGCATAAATTTGGTAGGGACAGAAGTCATATTAAAGAGAAAAATTTTTGGATGTGATGCGTAGCTACCTATTCACATAACTTAAAAAAGAAACAGGCAAAAGATTAGATTTTTGAAGCAAGAAAATGCTCCTACTCAGTAACCCTGATAGTTTTTATCGTTTCTGTTATCCATACAATGAAAATGCTAATCATATATTTGAAGAAAATGGAAAGACCAAACTAAAAACAATGCGGATTTTGTCACATTCTTGACCAAATAGGTACTTAATCCGACGAACAAATCGAATATCGAAAACCAAATGAAATTTGAAACACATGAGAACGTCAAAAACAAAGAAAGTATCCGACAGAAAATTTCACCTGAAAAATGTCAATACTATGATTTGAATAAGGGTGCAATAGTATATTACATACGGAGGTGGAAAGTGTTTCATTATTGTCGAGAGATACTATGGTCGACCGAGGTGCGAAGCGCCGAGGTCAGCCAATTCTCGAGACAATATATGTGAAAGCTTTCCACCGAAATATGTATACTTTTTTATTTTGAACCATTAATTATTGAAAAAAATAAGGTGAAAATATGAGAAAAAGGGAATTTCGACTGACCCTCCTGACACCGACATTGACAACCTATGAAATTTCAACAATATGAACACATGTGACATCTACTTATAAATACAAAAATTGCACCTGGATTTGTGTTCAGGTGTGAAAGAACATAGAATAAGGTTTATATTGGGGATAGAATAGACAGTCCCGTTATACGGGTTGGACAACCATTTGTGGCGCCATCTGTTGTCTATGAAATGAGCTCATCCCATTGTAACAGCTTGTAGAGCAGTTTGCTTCTTATTTTTATTTAGATTTGCTCTTTATTTATTTTATAATAAAAACACAATTTAATACAAATTTAACAAATAACGGTTTATTACAAAGAAAAGAGAAAATTATGTTGGTTTTTCGAAACTTGTCAACAAAGTCAACACTTAACAACCACAGAATTAAATAACAATAATAGTCTTTGCACTAAACATAACACTGTGAAAGTCCACAAATACACACAGATAACGCTCTGTTAACAATACGAAACACTTTTTCAACAAACACGAGTATTAAAACAACAAGAAGCAGAACGTTTTCCAGTTCATCGTTTTGTCATCATTTGTCATTTCATTAATTTATGTTGGTTCATGTCATAATTTAATAAGTAATCACGTCATTCTTCTTCTAAAGCGGAGATACCTTGGATATACAATCAACAACGCGTACGCAAATCAATTGACAGCGCCTCTACCGGGCATGAAACAAGTTTATTATCGAACCAAGTGGTACATTTGAAGATCGCGGGGTATGTGAAAGAACAATTTATCAGGTCGAAAGTGAGTTCTCCAGGCCGAAAGTGACAGGAAAACTGTCACTTTCGGCCTGCTTTGAAGTAACCAAATTAAAGTGACATTTTCGAACCTCCAAACCAGTAAGAAATATGGAAATTACATATTATGGTTCAAAATAAAATATTGATGTTAGCTTTGTGAATGCAAAATTCACGTTCAGATATACCCCAATCCTAGGAAAAAAAAAGCCATAGACAAATGAACTAAATACCCTAAACAAAAATCAAATATGGACTTCAGGACCCAAAAAACAATGAATCTGGTAATGGAAAGGCTACCGACTTAGAATGGATTTTTCGTGAGAAAGAACTCGTGAGTTACTCTCACTGGTGGCCCGAATGAAGAGAGTTCTACCCACCCTCATCATACAAGAAAATATGAAAATTCAGCAATAGGATTTCAAAAGTACATTTTGATAGTGATAGTGATACTTAAAAACAGTCAAAGATTTGATGTGAGTATACCGGGTGACCACGAGATTACTGACCAAGCTCTAGTTCAGGCATGAATATCAATATCGATTTCAAGTTTTGAGGATGTATATTATTGATATCGATGCAGAATTTCGCTATAAAAACAATCGACTATCGCTTTTGGTTTGACCGCAAGTGCCATCAACTTCTTTATTTCAACTAGATCACCCCCTATATTATTACATTTTTGGATTCTATGAGAAATTCTAAGCATATTTTATGTATAATATCCTATACCTAACTTTAAGAGTATTCAAGAAAATCGCGATTGAAAATGTCAAAAAATAATTTCTATTTTAGTTTTGACAGCAAGCAATGGATAGTAGGTTGGAACTTTTACGATATTTTTGACTCATTTTAGAAGCACTAAAGGGTCCCACCATAAAAATATCAGTTCAGGTTCAATCGAAGGTTTTCGGTCGGTCTACTTTTGAGGTTATGTTACTGCAATAATTTCAATGGTATCCCATACTTAGAACTGAAAATTCGTATTCTAGGAACAATTTTGAATCTTTTTTGTATACGCTTTCCTATACCTAAAGTCTACTGTTTTTGAGATATTTTACACTTGATGTAAGGATGTCTATGGAACAACGAATACCAAAAACAGTATTACCAGCAATAATTTTAATCCTTTTTATAAGTTTATTTAAATAGATCACACAGAATGCAGTTTAAAAGATAAGTCTCATTTGTTGTGTTCCTTGAATCCCGATTTGCACTGTTACCCAAAGGTCGCAAATAGTCCAAAAAGTTATCCTTACATCAAGTGTCAAATATCTCAAAAACAGTAGACTTTAGGTATAGGAAAGCGTACACAAAAAAGATCCAAAATTGTTCTTAGAATACGAATTTTTAGTTCTAAGTATGGTATACCATTGAAATTATTGCAGTAACATAACCTCAAAAGTAGATCGACCGAAAACCTTCGATTGAACCGAAAGTTTTATTTTTGTTGTGGGACCCTTTAGTGTTTCTAAAATGAGTTAAAAATATCGTAAAAGCTTCAACCTTCTTTCCATTGTTTGCTGTCAAAACTAAAATAAAAATTATTTTTTGACATTTTCAATCGCGATTTTCTTGAATACTCTTAAAGTTAGGTATAGGATATTATACATAAAATATGCTTAGAATTTCTCATAGAATCCAAAAATGTAATAATATAGGGGGTGATCTAGTTGAAATAAAGAAGTTGATGGCACTTGCGGTCAAACCAGAAGCGATAGTCGATTGTTTTTATAGCGAAATTCTGCATCGATATCAATAATATACATCCTCAAAACTTGAAATCGCTATTGATATTCATGCCTGAACTAGAGCTTGGGCAGTAATCTCGTGGTCACCCGGTATAACAATATTGCTTCTGGAAAATGGCGATAGTGATCGTTAATTGATGTGTTGATTAAGACAACAGTGACTGAACTTTAGAATTGGCAATGAGAAACTTTACCTAAACCTTGAGTTTCTCGAAAATATTCATACATAAAAAATGTTTAGAGCACTATGCACTTAACACTATGCAAAAGCTAGAACTGAATTCAAAATAGCCGAAGAAACTTCTGACGTGAACTCAGGAGACGAAAAAAGAAAGAAAAGACAAGTTTAATCTTCTTTGTGTGAACATTGCAGTGATGATTCGATACCCTGCATCCGTCAAAAACAAAATATACCAGAAATGCCAACTTCCGAAATAAGTAAGCAAGCTTGAAATAGAAGTATGTATTTATTTATTTAGCTTTTTCTGAATAATAAAAATTGCTTTGAAGGAGATACACACGATAAGAAAGATATAGAAATCCTTCTAACAACCTATGATTCGACATACTGTCAAGTATTTTTGATTTTTTTAACATTAATTTCCAAAAATCCTATTTTACACCCAAAGAGAATGCCAGAATGGAGACTAGTGTATGAAAACCATCCACATTAGACGGTATCAGGCGAGTTTCAAGGAACTGAACGGTTGGAATAAAAGAAGTCTATTCCAACAGTTAACGCAAAAAGCTTTCTCATGATGAAATGATTCAGGTTATTGAATAAATTTGTTCCAAAAAATTAATAAAATAAAGTATAGTCTGGCACGTGGTAACTTGGTAGAGACGGAAGGGGAAAGAAAAGTGGGGCGTAATCTAAGAATATTCACTGACACCTCAACTGACACCACCTCATGACAACCATGTCTTTGAGTTCAGTGGCACCGAAAACACCAAGGAAATAAATAAACCATAAAACTATTAGAACAAAACAAATTCTTTAGTTTCGCCATTAACTACGCCACTGTGCTCTCGTTCAGAGTTCAGGTTCGAACCAATGGAATCATGTCTCTGAATAATCATGCCTCTCCACATCCATCATTTCGCAATGTTGCCGGATTTTTTTCTATTTCAAAATACCACACATGTCCATATTGCAAAAAAAAATATGTCACCAATTTTTTATTATTGTTTCCGTCAAGTTTGGCAAAGCAGCAAGTTCTATTGCAGTTCGCCGTTTGGTTAGCCAGACTATACACGTGTGGGGTCAGGATTGTTTTAAATGATGTTTTATAATTCAAGTACTTAAGTCGGAATTTTTTCTAAAAGTATTTAAACAAAGACTGTATATGGGATAGAAAAAATACCGCCTCATTACTCAAAAACCACTCAAGTAAATAATAATGAACGCACAAAACATACACCTACTCATACCCATTATTATCCCTATGATGCTGTGCGTGATGCTGCGCACCGGCCTCGCTCATGCCCTGAGACTCTCTGCGCAAATCGGAGTTTTCTCTGCGCAGCCTGCGAATCAGAGTTTCGGCGTCTTCCAGTTTGCGTAGTAGTTCGATTTCGGCCTCGCCTGGGGCGTTGGTTCGTTGTTGTTCTTTCTCACGACGACGATCATATCGTTCAAGTTGTCTAAAATCAAAAAAGAGTGCCGTATTATTCACCTTGTTCATCATGATCTCAATCAGATTTCTAGATAGACGAAGGAATAAACATAATCGTTAACAAATAATCCAGTCCAAAGCAGGAGTAAGATTATTTCCATATTGTCTCAATATTTTTCACATATGGGCCGATTTTAAACGTCATTGCATATGATTCTGCCTCGAATTCAATTCTCTGAACAAAATTCTAAGACCTATTAAGAATATGATAAGCTTATAGAGGTTATCAGGAGTTCAATTATCTCAAAGTTAAGCTATGGGTGGAGCTAAGCATCATTTATATGAAAGAAATTTAAAATTTGTCAATGATTCAATGAATGTATCATATTTTGTTCTGATAGTACCTGATAGGCTGTACATGAGTACTTACTTTTTCTGTTCATCGACAATCGCAGAAAGGTAAACGTTGCGACTTTCTTGCTCTTGTAATTGTAGTCTCAACTCTCCTAGTTCCCTCTCCAAGATTTCCACTTGCAACGGTGTTGTATTAGTCTGAATTTTGGGACTTGTATACAACTGGAATAATTTTAAAATATACTTAGAGTGACATTTATACCTTTTTAATCCACATCACACAAAATCAAAATTTTTAAAAATAGAAGCTATAAATATGGAAACCTAATGGGAAGTGTTAAAAAAGTGTCTCTAAAAATAGGTGCTGTGTCTTTTTGCATTCTTTATGTGAACCAGTTAATAAAACAATATGGAATACCTACACCGACTTGGACGCCATCTATAGAAGCTATTCAAGGGTGCAATATAAAACGGAATCGGCCATCGGGGGTGGAGGTCAGTTGTATTTTATAATCAGTGACTGAATTTAACGCAAATAAGTTTGTGATCGAATAATTAGTGGAACGCGAGTCGAATGTGACACAGCGAGTTGTGATTTGGTTTTGTGACTACAGTTAAGCTTTTTTCTACTGACGTTTCATAATAGCAACTTTTCAATTGTCATTTCAGTTTTGAAACGACATTCTTTTAGGCACTGAGTGCGTGAAAGTTACTTTTAGGCACTCAGTGCGTAAAAGTGACTTTTGAATGCGTAAAAGTGACTTATGAGTGCGTAAAAGTAATTTTTAAGCACTAGTGCCTAAAAGTGTCATTCATTATTCAGAAATAAAAAACACACTAAACACATATTTGAATTTTGTTTTGTATTTATTATGAATATTGAAAATGGAATTACTGAATTGAACGTTTGGGTTACTCAAAACAGAAGTTTGTGTCATTACCTACTTTCTAGGATTTTAATTATTGATGTCGAATTTTGAAAAGAAAATCGCATGAAAAGTGTCAGGTGTCAAGTAAAAGCAGGTAACAAAGATTTTGGGTGTAATCGACTTATTCACATGAAATAAAATTGTGTTTTTTTATTATAAAATGCCAGTAGAAAAAATCTTGTATACAATACGTTACGAAACGATGTCTTTTAGTCACTCGACGTGTTGTCCAACTCGGCTTTGCCTCGTTGGACAATTTTCACGTCGCGTGCCTAAAAGACGCTCATTTCGTAACTTATTGTATAAATAGCTATATTGTAGTTAAAGGAAGTGTTGTAATAGAGCTATTTTCATCATGATTTTTGTGGTATTATCTCACTTATCTGGGAACCCGCTTACTTAACGATACTTATCAAGATTAATTCGAAAAAATATAACATTTAATATACAAATTAATTTGAACGTCTTGCATCCGAGGAATGACCGGGGCTTTATTCTTATTTTTCAATAGATTTTTTAGAAGATGTCTGTCGTGCAGCTAAGATATTGGTTTTTCATAATGCTCGCTAACAAAATTTTTTTGGGCGCCTAACACTACCTACTTCCCATGCTCAAGAAACAGCAAACTAAATAATAAATTATAATATCAGAATATTAATGAATATGTAATTGAAATGATTAATTTATTTAAATCAAATTACCGATACCCTATTCTTAACGATTTAATTGTTATATTTGAATCATAGGTAGTTATTATTGTTGATGGAACAGTGTTTTGTAATGTCATATAATATGATCCCCAACTCAAACAAAACAATTTTATGGTGATGTTTACAGAAAGTTTTCCTGTGCTTGGGGCCAATTATTACGCAATTTTTGAATTTGTTGCAATTCTTATGTTCGATATTTTTATACAGGGTGTTCATTTTAAAACTTACCACCCCTATTATCTCGGAGTTGGAAAATTCTCGAAAAAATCCCTGAAACACGTCATTCAACCCCCCACCTCCTAGCGCCACCCTCTAGAAAATCTTAAATGGGAAATGGGGTCAAGTGATACATCATTTTGCAGGGTTTTTAATTCCAGACATATTGGTACTAAATTTCAATACCTCAATTCAACTGTTTTGAAAATTCTGACAGTCAATATTTCCAAACCAGTTGAACTTAGGTATCGAAATTTAGTACCATAATTTATGGAATTAAAAACCCTCCAAAATGACGTATCACTTGACCCCCCTTCTCACTGAAGATTTTCTAGGGGGTGGCTCTGGGAGCTGGGGGATTGAAAGGGGGAAGGTGAATTTTGCATAAAAACTCATCCCCCTTCAAATTATAGTTGACGTGTTTCAGGGAATTTTTCGAAACTTTTCAACTTCGAGATAATAGGGGTGGTAAGTTTTAAAATGAGCACCCTATACATGTTCATGGATTTCACGACTACAATGACCTCTAGACGCGTCTCATTACCATGGTCGTACAAAGTCTAGACGCTACTTCAGCATGTTATCCTGTCTGAACATGTCACGCCAATAACTCTGGTCCATCGTCGCAACGCTCCCATGGAAACAGCAAGATCAACATGTTTTAAAATATCAAAGACCCTGTCTCTTAGTAAGGTCGTCATTATTCGTCATTATTAAGTAAGTTGATTTAATGTCCAATATAATTGTAACTTGTATTTTAGAATAAATTAGTGTTTTTTTAAAAATTGATTTCAAGAGTTTTTGAGATAACAATTTGGCGCAGTCGGTAGAATCTGTCAACGTTGTCAGAACAAGAATATTCTAACGGATAGAGGCGGATTCTAATCCTTTAAACAGAAGAATAACGGAAGAATCCCAACACGAAGTGAACACGTCGATTCCATGGAGCCTATTCTTTTGATGTAAGTATACTTAAAAAATTGCCTCGTTTATTTTTTTTTGTAATTTACTTATGATTCGATTTTTCAAACATTCCCTATTATTTTTTTTTGCATCTGCCTTATTTTGCGAAGTTTTATTTTACCATATTTTGAAAATTTGCGAACCAATTTCTATAAATTGTTTCAATTTACCATATTTTGTCTATTTTGAAAAGTTTGCTAATCAATTATTTCCTTAAACATCGTTTTTTTTTGAAAATTTACCGACCAATTTTTATAAATAGTTTCCATTAACCATATTTTGAAAAGTTTTTCAATTTCGAAATATTTTTATTTTTTTTGTTGTTTTTGAATATTTTTATTTAAATCAACAAAATGCCTAATGAAACCAATGAAACCACTGTGGAAGTTGAACCATACAAGCTTTCCGAAATATTTTCGATAATTCCTGAATTTGAAAGAGATCAAATCTTCTTAGGAAACTTTATTAATGCATGTGATTGTGCCTACAATATGGCAAGCACGCAGCAAAAGGTTTTACTCGTTATTCACATTAAAAATAAGCTCAGAGGTAGAGCAGGTCAACTGATAAGTTCTCGAATCCCAAATTCCTATTTGGAGATCAAACAACTTCTGAATTTACACTTTGGAGATTCTAGAGACCTCTCAGCTCTTATCCATGACCTCCAACGATTCAAACAACTACCTGGCGTGTCTTCCCTTACTTTCTGCAACAGACTCCAAGTACTTAATGCAAAAATGCATTATTCTATCCAAAAGTCACAACACCTTAAAACAGTAAATCAAAAAGAAACACAGTCCTTCCTTATAGAATCTATGGCCCTAAACACTCTCCTTACAGGTCTAGAACCTCGCCTTGGCCAGATTATCAGAGCTGGAAGCCCACACACTCTCTTAGATGCCCAATGTAGAATCAGGAGAGAAATCCAACTTTCCTATTTTGAGAATCATAAGACTCCAAAAACTTCTGTTCAAAATGCTTTTCTTGCGGAAAAATTGGCCACACGTTAAAACTTCACTCAATCCCAAATCAAAATTTCCAAAAAACGATAACAGCTAACCATTCAGGCACCGCAAACCAACAACCAATGTTCCGCAAAATAGAACCCAGAATGCTACTTCGAAACAATTCGTACTAAGATACGCTTCAACTACCCCTCAATGAAACCCCAATTTTTACCCTAACCAGCAAAAACCTTTTAAATTATTCCTCTAATGAAATATATGCCAACGAATTTGAGTACGCTGAAAGCCTTCATTATGAACAAGATGCCAGTTATGAAGAGAACGAATATGCTGAACAGTTCACTACTGATCCAAACGCTGAAAATTATCAGGATTTTCTGGTACCTTTTACCAATCACCATCCGCCAGAGAATACCCCTCAAGATCACACTTCGAATATCGAGACTCAAATACAACTTCTGAATTTAGACAATATGAATCCGAACCTCAATTTTCCGGAATAAGCATTTCTTTAAACTCACTTCTTATTGTTAATTCGAAAAATCTGTACTACATTTATGATGCTTCCAATAAATTCAGATTACTTATTGATACAGGTGCAGGCATTTCAATTTTTAAAGAAAATACTGTCCATAAATTCCCCATTTAAGGTATCACCGATCAAAAACTCCAGATCCGTGAATCAACACTTGTACCGTTCACCCTCCAAGATCCTCACAAAGTGTAGGTATATTTACAACTTGAATAGGTATTGATTTCGATGGAATTTTAGGGTTGGATTTCCTAGAACATTATCAATGTGTAATAGATTTGAAAGCTAAAAAACTTGTAGCTAATTTCAAAACTATCCCTCCTTACAAAGTTACTGAAGATGACTACGCTAATAATGCGAAACCAAACAACACTCGAACAATTCTTAATAAAATATCTATAGAAGCTAGAAGTGAAAAGATCTTTAAACTCAAGTGTAATCTATCCAACACAGATGCTTAACTCTTTTCTCATGAAAAAGAAAAGGTCGAATTACCTAATGCTTTAGTAAAAGTCAATGAACAAGGTGAATTTGTAAGTATTAACGCTATAGAAAAAACCGTGGAGTTTTCGAACTTGTCTATCGAACCATTTGTCTCAGAAAGTGGAACTCAGAAAACCATTCTAAGTTTTAACAACTCTAAGCTCGACTATGACGATACTTATGACAGGCAAATGTCCATACAAAATAAACTTCGTAAAGAACATTTAAACGACGAAGAAAAAGAACTAATTACCAACTTTTGCCTGAACTTTTCCGACACTTTCTACCTGGATTTACTAGTGAGATTAAACACCCTATTGGGCATATTGACACCAATAATGCAAAGCCTGTGTATACCAAATCTTACAGGTACCCCCAAATCCACAAAGAAGAAGTCAAATCCCAAGTTACCAAAATGCTAGAC